ACTGTTGTGCAAACCAAGAGTGATAAAGCATATGAAGGGGCAAGAGGACTCCTACAGTCTAGCATTCAGTCTCACACATGTTTTGCTTTGCTGTGTGCCACTATCTTGGACTTCAGGGTTAAATCATGTGCTAAAATTGACAGGTAACTCCTCCAGTAATCAGCTTGTTTTGAATGACAGGTTAGTTCCAACCATCTTTTCTTCTGGTGAAAATGGAAAAAGGGGTTCCGTTTGGCCACTGAAAAGGTTCTGCTGGGCTGGGCATAATGAGACAGGCATGGACAAAAACCACGTGCTTCTGAGACTATAATACAGAGAATAATTGGCTGAGACTGAGTGGGAAAGCTGGTTGGATCCAAATTTTAATTTCCTATCTGAAAGTATTGTCACAGTTATGCAGCACATTTTGTACCCTTATTCCATTTGAGTGAGATGTAAGATTTTTGCTTGCATTTTAAGACTTTTGGAATTATTTCTAGTACATGCACTATGTGCCGCATGTGAAGCATGTAATTAAAATGTGACATTATATTATATGACAGAGAGACACCGCAACAATTATAAAACTTAATATAGTTTGAGCAGGGATTAAAAGCAAGAAGAAAAATATGATGACCATCCTGTTGTGTAGGTGTTTAAGGCTGCAGAACACTTGGGGATGCACTTCATGCTCTCCAAAAGCTATTTTCAGCAAGAATTATGTTCCTGTTTTCAAACATTCTAAACATGTACAGTGCACACACTTGAGTAGAGCAGGATCATGGCAGTGAGCTTGACCCTGTGTGCATTGCATGTAACCTGTGTACATAGGGTACTCTCTGCATAACCAGGGTCCTTGAAAAACATAATTTTTCCTATATGCACTATACTCTGTGTATTAGTTCCAATGAATTAGTATAAGCTGAGCCTACTGCTAAAATTCCACTCCTTGTACATACATGCTTGGAACATCTGAAAATGATTGTGAGAAAGGGACTTTTTGTGAATTTATTTACGGATGATAATAAAATAACATTGGGATATGTCATAACAGCTGATTAGATGTGGCAAAGAACTGTGAATCTTAAGTAGGATGTTGGTTGTTTTTTTGGTAAATACTGGTAATCATGAAACTTCAAGCCTGTTTCCTCTGTTGTACGTAAGATATAGAGTGATCCCCTGCGAGGAAATCGGCGAGCATCTTATGAAACTTCAACCCTGTGTCCTCTGTTGTACGTAAGATACAACCATATTTTCCCATATGATCCTATCAACTGATTAACATCAGCACCTGAGGCTCTTATCTTTGTTTCCAACTGGGGTTGCCATTCAAAAATGGCTGGTGGGCCGATGGTGTTGAATCTCTTTTGGGAAAAATCTTGAGATGACATCATGCTTCTCTTGGAATCACTGGAAAGTCTGAGGTAAAACCATAGAGTTTTCAGTGATTTCTACAGAGGATGACATCACTTCTGGTTTTTCTCTGAAAGTGATGTCATGTTGCTGCTGGCTCCCCCCCATGCTCCTGCTCCCCCAAGTCTCCTGCTAAAGTCAATGATGCCTTGGGACAGGACCTTTTTTGTTATAGCCCCTCAGTTATGGAATTCCCTACTTGCAGCAGATTGATTGATGCTTAAAGCTCTAGATGCCAGGTGAACACTTTTCTTTGCCCACACATTTTGTTAACTATTTAATTTGCATTTTAGCTTTCAATGTTTAAAACTGATTTGTTGACCGTTGTACTGAATTGTTTTACTGAGTTATAATTCTGCAGTTTATCAGTATATTGCTTCTTGGTATCCTACAATGAAAGGAATTTTGCCTTTTGTGATAGGAAAGTTCCACTGTCAGCTGAGCAGAGTAGTTGTAACCAATTCAATAGTACATTAGGTGATTTAAAGAGCAATTCTAAGCTGTCTACTCAGTAGTAAGTCCCATTTAGTCCATCGATGCTTACTTCCAGGAAAGCATTTTTAGGACTGCAGCTTTAAACACATATACAACAGGATGGCCGTTATTTTTTTATATTTGCTTTTTAATCCTTGTTCAGGCTGTATTAAGGTTTACAACTAATGCAATGTCTCTCTGTAATAAAATAAAATAAATTATGTAACATTTAATTACATGGCTCAGTGGTCTTTCTTTGATGTGACACTTGTTATTTTCCCTAATCCAGTATTAATCACTTGTAAAAATGTTTGTTTAGACAACAGACACTTATGCTACCTCTTCTCCTAGTTAATCTTTTGTTGCCCTGAAATGTTGTGTTGTAGGTGAACAGTCTTTTTGTTGGATTGTTAACATGGTGATGGATCATGTTGTGACACAGTGTCTGTTTGCATCAATCATTTCCTCTTCAATGCCTTTGTAGACTCCATTGAGGTTATTGCCCCCAACAATAATCTAATTGTATTACTGAGTTTGTTGTGGGTTGACTTTTATGGAGAGTGATAGTAATGGAATCCTGAGGTTCCTAGAATAAAAGAACAAGGTGTATTTTACAGAGCTGTTTTAGACAGCATAATACTTAATTAGACAGCATAATATTTAGATTATAAAAATACTACTATGTGCAATTAACTAAATGATCTTTTTTCAAGATGCTCTTTGAAGGAACAAGTAGTATTCTCGAAACAACTAATTATCAATAGAGATCTCTTTTTACCTCTTCCAGAGTATGAAATACAATCAAAATACTAAATCAGAACTCGGGGGAAAATGAGAGTTTCTGAATAACTCACTAATATAAATAAAAATAATAATATTTTGAGTTGGGTGGCTGGGCTTTCAGATAGGCATAGGTAACATCTGCAAGAGTGTTTTGTTATTTTACAAGCTTTCATGTGCAAGTATCTGAAGAGGTGTGCTTGCACACAAAAGCTTATACCCTGAATAAAACTTTGTTGGTCTTAAAGGTGCCACTGGACTCAAACTTTGTTTAGTTGTTTTACAGTTATGTTCCTTTACTTGGGGGGAGGCAGACTAAACTGTTGGTGAAACTGACCTGGAGATCCTTGGTAATTTTCATGAATAGATTTCTGAATATTGCATAAACTATAGAATTTATAGAATGCAGACTTTTTAAGATACACTTTTGATCATTTCCCCACAGTTCTTACATTTACTCTTTTTGTGTTTACAAACAGCAAAAAATTAATAAAGAATGGAAAATTATATATATTTTAATGGAAATCATACATTTGAAAAGGAAGTCCCAGTTTTCATTTGGTTTGTTCATTAGAGGCATTACTTTTGAGCACTACATTGAAACAAAATTATTTTGAGTATCTTGTGTAGCCTCATACCATTGTTCCCATTATATTAGGTTCCATGCGGAATTATACCCAGTTTAGAGTGAAACTTCTTTCTCTGCTTTTACTTAATTACATTTTAACTCACCCTTCCTTCAGGCAGCTCAAATTAGTATACATATTTCTCCCCCACCCCACATTTGGAATGAGAGTTGGTGACTGACTCACCTAGTGAGCTTTGGGGCTTGAAGATGAATCTGTAGAAATAAAATTGTCTTATTGTGTTATGTACCAAAAGGGGGGGAAATCTTTGACTTTAATTTTATATAAGAATAAAAGGATCCATCTGTCTGTCCATCTCTCTTTGTCAGGCATAATGCCTTAGAAAATAAAGTGAGGAGTCTCAAATGTGGCCACCAGCTGCAGGATGAAGTTTCAGTGCAAAGACAAATTAGATCTGAGTATCAGAGCTAGTATGGCATAGGGATTAGCATGTCTGACTAGGATCAGGATCTATGAGACCCAGGTTCAAATCCCACCTCTTCCACAGCATCTCGCTTGATGACCTGGGCCAGTTCCAAACTCTCAACCTAACCTACCTGATAGGGTTTTTGTTGGGCAGGAGAAGGATGCAGGTCACTTTGGGTCTCCATTGTGGAGAAAGGGAGGGTATGACATTTTCTATCAATCTGATTTTGTCTACAGTTCTCCAAAGAGGGATGATTACTCTTGCTGCTATTTCGTCAGGTATTGCTGCAACACATTTGGAAGGAGGCAGAACTGCTAATTTCAGTATTCAAACTGCCATTGAATATTGCAAGCTCAGCAAGACAGGGGGTTGGTGAGCAGATCAAGCAGGATTGGACCTGCAGTTATAAATATGGAGGGAGGCTGTAAACCATTACATACTAAGATGCTGTATGTGTATTCAGAATTCTTATTGATTTGGGCCCTTGGGAAACCATTACAATGATTTTCTGCTACTACAGTGTATACAGACTATCTTCTGTTGATTGCTATTGAAAAATGAACGGGCACTCTATAAAAATAATGTGACATTCAGCAACAATCAGATCAATATTTTTATCATGAGGAACAGCAGAGATGTTGCTTGTTTCTGCTTTTGTAGGGGACAGTGGCAAAATGAAGACATTGTGTTTCCAATATCCATTTGAAAATTTCTGAACACACATTTGTAATTAACATTTCAAACATGCTTCAAAATACAAGATCTGTTTTTTTTCCTGCTAGAAAAGTGGTAAAAACCTTGAAGTTACCTAGAATAGGAAAGTTGTGTTAAAAAACAAATATTTTTGAAGTTGGATTTTTTTTAACAAATAAAATTTTCTCTAATCCACACACTATTTGTCAGTCAAAAATATGTATAACTGAATTAGACAGAAAGTCAAAAGGCAAAGCCTGAGGTTAGCATTTATTATTATATACTTCATGTTATGTTTGCAACATGTGCAACTTTTCTTAAAGAGCATCTTAATATAGCTGTATCCCATCAGTGCATTTATTTGTGCTCACTGAGCCATGATTCAGGAAAGAGGGTGTGTGTGCATGCGATAAGGATCATTTAATCCCTGCTGCCCTTTATGTGGTGAAAGATCCATAATTTTATTTTCCTTTAAAAAGCTCTGGTCCTGTACATGTGACAGTTTAACCTGAAAAAGCAGACACGCCGCAAGGGCCTGTTTCCTATGGTGCTTAAGTGCGCAGAGGCAAACAAAACTCATTCCTCTTCATTTTGTCTTCTTTTTGCAGTTAATCTGCTGGATTCAAAAACCATTCAAGGGGAGCTGGGCTGGATCTCCTACCCGGCACATGGGGTAAGTTCATTAGACTGCAAAACAAGGAAAATGCTGTTACAGTTCAGCATGCTGTTAATCACCCCCCCCCCCAACAAGTAACCAGAGAAGAAGCTTACTTGAATTTTCAAGTTGTGGTTTTTATTATTTTTTTAAATACCTTTCAGATCTCCAGGCATATGTTCTATATGACAAATAACAGTTTGAATGTCTCTTCCAAAGAAAGCATCAAAATGATGGCACTTTAAACTGCCTTTAAGGAGCTGTATTTCCAAAACACACTTGGGGTGTTCACTGATGAGGGTTAATCAGGTTTGATTTGAGTCCAGTAGCACCTTGGAGACCAAGGTGGAAATTATTACAATGATGTTTAATCAGGCTTGAATGCCTTTTACACTGAAAAGGTGTCTACTGAGAGAAAAGAGCCGTTTGTAATGTGAACAGATGTTTTGACCAGTGTTGGTGTTTTTGTATACACTAGCTAGAAGCAAGAACTATATTAAGTTTTAAGTCTGAAAATGATTACTGTGTTAGAAACGAGCAAGTTTAAAAATACAGTTCTGAAGGATGTTTTCCTCCTGCGATTAGGTAGGGGCCCCTGGCCTAACCTGTCTTCAGAGTTCAGGAAAGCACAGCCCAGTTAGCTTCCATGAGAGTCTGTGTCAGCTGGGGCTCTTCAAGATGGCCACTTTGTTAATGAACCTCACTCTTTTTGTTATTGTTTGCTTTTGGTTATTTAGCAATCTAGACAGCAGATCAGGGTTTTTACATCTCTTATTTAATCTCATCACCCATTTCCTGTACTGGTTGTAAGTTTATAGGAGATCTCTTTTTCATACAGGGCAAGTCACATGTAACAAAGGACATGTGGACTGTTGACAGACATTCTATGGGCGTTCTGTGCTTAATTCCCAGGCATGTACAGATTGGGAATATATGTGGGGAGAGGGGGTTTAAGCCTTTCTCCCTTGCACTGATTTTCTCTGAAGCAACCCAGTGAGGTAGCATTTGCCCTGCTGGGGAAAATTACATGTAGCCATCAGTGTGGGTAAGGTCCCGTCCCCCCCCAATGGGGCAAATAGCAGTTCCCTGGGATCATTTCTGGTTGGGAAAAAAATGGCCAAAGGGGAAGGCTTAACTGCCTCTCTCTGCATGCCATGGCTCTAATCTGAATCATGTTCATTTGTATCTGAGAATGAAGTTCTCAGCATGGGCTTCCCAGACAATATCTGATTGAATTGGTCCTAAGAGAGTTACATCTTTCAGTGACCAATCCCCCCCCATATTCTCTCTACTGCTTTTTCATTGTCTTTACTATTGTTTACTGCTTTTTCATTCACACAATCAGAGCAGCAAGAAAAACCCTCATGTGTTTTCCCCCCCTTTGCCTACCTCAGCTACTTACCTACTCAAATCAAATCAAGTGCTGTACATTGCTCCATTTGGTTGCCATTCATTTTGTTTGGTGTAGTAGCATCCTTCCTGTGATATTACATGCTTCTTGTGACATTGATGAGCAATAGATTCAGAACAGAAAGAAAGTTCCACAACACATAGTTAACTTATGGGATTTGCTGTCACAAGATGAACAACAGCCATAAAAGAGTTTTAAATAACTCCATGAAAGATATATTTATCAATGGCTACCAGCCAAAATGGGAGGGAAGCTGGCGTGGGAGGGAAGCTGGCTGAGAGGGAAGCTGATGCAACATTCCTACATCACCTGGAAGTGACATAGGCATGTCAGTGACATTGGGGGGCAACACTCCAGTTTTTGGGCAAAATTCCATGGTTAAAAGCTAATTCTACTATAGAGGTTTTGCCCACAAACTAGTTCATTGTCCCCAATGACCCCAACATCCAGGTGAGGTAGACATGTCACACTTATTGCTGGCTTCTTCCCTCCCCATTCCTGGTAAGTACACCCCCATCCTTCACCTACTCATCTGCTGGACTTGGCAACCCTAGTGGCAGATGGAGTTCTGTGTTGGTAAGTGTAAGGTGACGCACACTGGAACAAAAAAAATCCCCACTTCAGGTATAAGCTAATGTGGTCTAAACCTTCTGGGACTGAGAGGGAAAAATATCTTAGGGTTGTAGTAGATAATTCAATGAAAGTGTCAACAGTGTGCTGCAGTGCTAAAAATGGCAAATTCTATTAGCATTTTATTTATTGAATATTAAATAATAATATTAATAAAATAAATAATGTTATTTATTAACTATTAGGAAAGGGATTGAGAATAAAATGGTTGATTCCCTCTAAGTGTTCCCTCTAAGCTGAGTTAGTGTGAGCTAGCTCACAGTTTTTTAGCCTCTGGCTCACACGTTTTTGTCTTAGCTCAGGAAGGATGGCTCCAGAGCAAACTAATTTATGCAGTAGGCAAATCATTCACTCACAGCTTTAATACCAGTAGCTCACAAAGCAGAATTTTTGTTCACAAGATTCCATAACTTAGAGGGAACATTGGTGCCCCTGGACAGATCTATGATGTGCCTTCATTTAGATTACTGTGTGCAGTTCTGGTCACTGTATATCAAATACTACATTGCAGAGCTGGAAGAAAGTACAGAAGAAGGCAACCAAGATGATGGGGAAAGGCTGAAGAGTCTGGGACTTTTCAGTTTATAAAAGAGATGACTAAGGGGGGGGGACATGATAGGAGTTTATAAAATTATGCACAGGGTGGAGACAGTTGACAAAGGGAACTTTTTCTTCCAAAATACTAAAACTTGAGGGCATCCAGTGAAGCTGAGGGGCAATAGACTCAGGATGGACAAAAGGAAATACTTCTTTACATAGAGAGTGATTAAAATTTGGAATTTGCTACCAGAGGATGTACTGATGGCCACAGGAATAAACAGCTATAAAAGGGGATTCGATAGATTCATGGAGGAAAGTTTTATTAGTGGCTACTAGCCATGGTGACTAAAAGGAACTTCCACATACAGGGGCAGAAAACCTCTAAATACCAGTGCCAAGAGGCAACATGAGGGGAAGGCCTCTGTCTTTATGTCCTGTATAGGGCTGCCAGGTGGGAGCGGGTGGCGGGTAAACTCTCACTTTGGAGGCCCGATTTCCACTGCTGCGGAATCGGGCCCCGGGGGGAACCCCACCCCGGCGTGCATGTCACTAGGAAGTGATGTTATGACGCTGGGCACGCTGGGGGCGGGGCCATGACCATCCAAGGGGAAACTCTACAGTTTCCCCTCGAATGGTCATGGCCCCACCCCCAGCATGCCCGGTGTCATAACGTCACTTCCTGGTGATGTGGGTGCGGTGCGCGCTTTGCGCGCACGCACACACTCCAGGATCCACCCGGGAGTCCCCCACTGCGGAGGTAAGCTATACTTGGCAACCCTAGTCCTGTAACTGGTTGGCCACTGTGTGAGACAGGATGATGGACTAGATGAACCACTGGTCTGATATTGGTGTTGTTTTGCAGAATCTTATTTTTGCTCTTTTGTCTGGCTTTTTGCTCCATTTTTGCTCTGTGGATCTATCCTCTGAAGCCCTCTTATCTCAAATGCCTAAACCTTGACAAAAGGAACTGGCACAGGGATGAAGCAGAGAAACATGAGCCTTACAAAAAAACAAGCATGCCCTATTAATCCATTGAAAAGACCCCTGTGTCCTCTGCAGCGTTTTGGCAACGTGGGTTAAGTTAGAGAAGTTTTTTTCTGTGCAGGCTGTTCCTGTTTGTGCTTTTAAATTTCTGGGTGGGTGGGTGGGTGGGTAGATAAGCATTATTTGTTGGATTGTACAGTGATTCCATTAATGGCGTGCGCTGAACAAGCTGTGTTTATATGGATTGGTTGCCAGTCTGAAGGAGATTGTGATTAGGATACTTTTATATTCCTACTGAATTCATGTTCCTATTGAATTCAATAGCAAAACAACAGTTGATTTTAATGGAAATGCCATTTCAGAGGCAGTCTAGTATACCACTAAATACCAGTAGATGTCAGGGCAACAACAGGGGAGGCCTTGGCTTCTTTGGTCGGCTTGTGGGCATCTAGTTGGCGGACATAGAAAACAGGGTCTCATCCATCAGGGCTCTTAATGCTAATTTGCCTGAATGGTCTGATATTTTAAAATAAGCATAAAATAGCTTTTGTTGTTCTGTGCTTAGGTCTTAAAATAATATACTTACTGTGCTGCAAAGAGAAGTACTACTGATGAAGTGAAAAGAGAAAGAGGGAAGAGACAATATTTTCATAGTCCTTTACTTCTACAATATTAATTAAAACTCTGGGATTTACATCTGTGGGAGACCTGGTTAAAATATGAACTTAAACTTCAGAGGGAAAACATTATAATAAAGATGTCACATCACATTGAAGCATTGCTAATAGCACAGAGGTGATTTACAAGGTAAAGTTAATAGAGCTACACTCGAAACTGTGACTCACAAATGAGGATATTGGTATCATGCCAGCTGAGTTCCAAGGCATAGTAATATATTCCCATCACAACCCATAAGTGCCTATATACTGAAATAGTTTACTTTTATAAATATTAAAAAGACTGCCTTCCCCTTCTCTTGGAAAGTCATCCAGGGAGTTCTTCCACATTTATTATTGTATTTCAGCAATACACAAAGGGTTAATCCTAGAGAGGAAGAAAATAATTTTGTTTGGCTGCCTCACTGTTCTTTAGATACTTTTCTGACCTGATTTGCATCTATACAGAATTCCTGAATATTCATTTTGTGATTTATGCTCATTTGTATTCATCAGTTTATGCTCTACTTGATAACTCAGTGTTTGAACCCTGGATTCAATATTATCACCCCGTAAGAATGTGATTGCTTTTAAAAAAAGCTATCCCAGACATCCACAGTGTTCTCAGTTGTAGCACGCTGATCATCTGGTCAAGCTCAATCAAGCCCATTGGGAGGTTGGGCCTCTCTGCAAAGCAGAGCAACAGAACTATTAAAAAGTGCAATAGCTACATTTACTATACTTGATTGCAAAGTCCACAGAGATAATATCCTGCACCAACACCTGCATGTGTGCAA